CGATCGTTATCTGATAAAGTAACTTGTGTGTCTTGACTGTTTCCTGAGTATAAAACAAGGATAATTTTATGATATCATAGTTGTTATTATTTCTAACTGTTCTACATATATTATTGTTCTCAATAATAGTTTTATTTGGTGGCATTTTGGTATTATTGAGCTTATCTAGTCTAACCCCTTAACCATTTGGATTCTTTATCCAGAACAGAACGTTGGTATCGATACTGAGTTGTTCGGTATCGATACTAACACTTGAGTATAAATACCCACCCTTTGATATCGATAATGAAATAACTATTATAAGTTGATAATGAAGGGTATTATCGATACTCTTAGATCGGGTATCGATACTTTGCCCTTAGTATCGATACTCTCATAAGTATCAATACCAAAATTGGCTACTGAAATTTACAAAGTGTACTCGGTATCGATACTCCTCCTATGAGTATCAATACCCAACCATCGGTATTGATGCTCGATGAATGTGTATCGATATTCCTATCCCAAAACTTTCTTATTTTAAACCATCTAACGAACAATATCGATGCTTTTCTTTCAATACCGATACTCAAACCCATAAATGTCTTGTTTGGGCACGAAAATGACTCTTCATTTCACCCAAAAGCCCTACTAAGATTTCCAAACGTTATTAAAGTTTTATGTATATTAAGAGATGTCATTAAAGGTCTATAAACATGATGAAAAACACCAAATACTGAAATCTACCATGAATGTGTTTTTACGCCTCATATCTCATGCAAGATACCAAACATACCTAGTGATCTAGATGTGGTAGAGTAGAGTTACAAGTGTGTTACCTGGACTACTAAGTTACTAGAAATGCTCAAAGCTCAAACAAGAGTCAACTTTTCTTTTTGTTTGTTCTTGGAGCTTTCTCCCACTTCTCTTACTAGACAAAGATAAACCATAAGAATTACTAATTAGTTTGGGAGTTTAGAAAAGAGTTTAAAATATTCCTAGAGGCTTAAATCTTTTAGAAACAAGCTTATTACACTTAGGTTTCTAAACCCCCACTATAACCTATATTTGGTTACCATGACCAAAACTTTTCATTGAGAGCTTGAATGAAAGCTTAGAATGAGGAGATTAAAGCTCTTACTAGAGGATTTTTTGGACAAGGCTTGGAATGATATAAATTTTCCACATTTTACTTGACACACCAAGGAAGGTAAAGAGGGTTTGAAATAAGAGAATAATAAGAAGACAAAAGGGTGGAGAAAATGAGATATAAGGGGGAAAGTTTTCAAACATAAGATCATCAAACATTAATTAAAATTCAGCCTTTAAATAAAAATGGTACAATTGCTGTTTTTGTTCTCTTAATTTTATTCACGATATAAAAATACTTTTTTTTATCATTCCTTGGGCCTAACCCAAAGATCATTTGGACCAAGCTTCTCTACAAGGCTAATGGGTTTATTCCAAAGCACTCTCGGTTTAACTCAAAACTACTAACATGGGATTTAGGGTTTTATATTTCTTCTTGGTGATTTGAATTTGTTGGTGTCTATTCTTAGTTTGAAATTCTAGAGGTAAGTTTGGAAATCTTCATCCTCTAAGCTTCATTTTGAGCCTCCAACCTTATAGTTTGGTCATAGTTAGGTTTAAGAAGGGTTTTGTGTTTTAGAGCTTGTGGGTGGCTCTAAATCATTCTAAACCTTAAAAATCATTTTTTTAATTTCTTAATTCTCTAGATGAGTTGATAATTCATTCAATTGATTTGTTCTAGTGAGAGAAGTAGGAGAAAGCTCAAAAGTGAAGGGAAAAGAGAAAGAGGTCATTGGGTGAGCTTGAGGTTGTTTCTCCAACTCCTAGGTGTAAGGTAACACATTTCTAACCATCCTCTACTGCTTATGGATTAGTATGTGTAGTGTTGATGCTTGTATGTGTGTATGAGGCATTTGGGGTGCGTTTGGGTTCATAGCATGAAAATAGAAAATATGTGTTGTTCATGCATAATATAATAACTTTTTATGACCCTTTAACACTACATAAGCCTTAAACACCATTTGAGGGTCTTGGGAATACCTTAAGAGAGATTTGGAGAGTTGTATACGAAATAAACATAGTCTTCTAGGTAATGTGTATCAATACTATATGAACAGTATCGATACTGATTGTTAAAAATATGTAAAATTTGAGTGTTTTGTGTAGAAGTATCGATACTTGTTCTTGAGGTATCGATATTGTTCAAGGAGTATCGATACTCTAGGTTTAGTTCAGATTTCAGTGAGTTGTTTTGGTATCAGTACCTAAGTAATTACTAATACCCTAGGGAAGGGTATCGATACTTTAGGTGGGGAATCAATACTCATAATTTTTCAAACGTCAAATAGGATTTTGGTATCGATACTCGGGTAGTATCGGTACCACTAAAGAGGAGTATATATACCCTAGGTAGGGGTATCGATACTGAGGGTTATGCCAAATTATAGTAGGTTATTTTTTTATATTTATCGGGGAAGTATATATACCATAAGAAATGAAGTATCGATATCCAAGGCTGAGTATTAGTACCATAGTGGAATTTTGGCCTATGAACCTTGCTTGCGTTAGAAAGCTTAAAATGGATCTTGGTTAAGATGAGACTTTTCTATAAACTTACAAGTGATAACTATAATAATTGTGTGATAACATAAGATCATTATGAAGTAAGATTCCATAAGATTTATGCCTTGTTTAATGCTCGGGAAACATCAAGGACACCCGAGTTACTTGTGTGTGATGATGGTCCAGTTGAGTATGAGATTTATCCGAATTTATTCAATATAGTGCTATGGCAATCAAACGTTATTTAGACATCGTGCTGATGCTAGGTGACCCAGACACGTCCTGAGTACTCGAAGGGAGTAGACTAGCTATGCAATGTGCCAACGCTTTGTGACCCGGACCTATCCTATGGTATTGTAAAAGGCTGATGCTATGTGACTCAGATCTTACCCGATGTACCTTTAGTAAGAAAAAAGGGGGTGTGACTTCTGTGATGCTAAGGTGACCATGAACTACACCATGATGCTTACTTTATCGTGTTTGTTGAATGTATTCCAATGTTCATAACCATACTTGTAACATGTTTATATGTTGAATGCATGTAGTATAGTAGGGTTATTTGTGTGGCACTGAGCTTGTGAGTTCAGCACATGAAATGTGTTTCATTGCACAGGTTCTTAGGTGTCAATTCGAGGAGCTCTTCGTCGGATTGCAGGATTTCCAGACTCGATCCTTTATCAGAGTATGTCTCGAATATTATAGTAGGCATGTATTGTCATAAACACTTATGTAATATCGAGTCGTAAACTCTATTTTTTAAAACTTATGTATTTTGAAGACTATTGTTAGGAGCTCGCTCATATTTTGTAAACATATATACTTGGTATTTTATCATGTTTTAAAAGTACGGATGTGTTGAATGATTTAAAAAAAGAAAAAAAATTGTTTGCCACTTAGGTGGTTATGTATAATATTCTAATCCATCGAATTTGAGGTCGAATCAGATTAGTGTGTTACAAAAACTAAACGTTATATATAATTTTGAGAAAAAAATAAAAGTTTAGATACTAAAACAGACGGAAACTAATAGTTTAGACACTAAATACGTAGTTTACCCTAAAAAGTCCATTTCTTTTAACATTTAATCACCATTAACCATAATAATTTATTACCTTATTTTGTAATTTATCTTAATTTTTTAAAAATAATTTCATTTTTAGCTTGTCTTCACATAACATGATTTTTATTATATTTAAATCATAACATGAACATAAATAAATAATTATATATCTAATCACTTTTATCTCATAATCTATAAAATAATAATAAAAATTTAAACATTAATGGTGCTAAGATAACTACTAAAAATGACGTAACATAAAAATCTGTAGATGACATGTTTGAATACCTCTACAAATAGTTTAAACACAAGATCTTTAAAATTAATAATTATATATTTAATTATTAAAGTAACTTTAGTTGTAATCATCAAATGAGTTTTAACCTAGGTTAAACCATCCATTTGCCCTTCATAAATCAAATAAATGTGACTTCAAAAATTAAAAAAATTATTGAAGTAAAGAGTATCACTCTATCACCCTTCTTACATGAACCTAATTTGTTTATAAATAAAAAATAAAAAAAGGTGTTGAGGGGGAATATTAGTATATGCAGTAGTAATCAAACCTCCCCTCTTGTCATCTTTCATATTTCCCATTCTAAGCTTCGAAATTCAATCTAGTCCTCTTCAACGTAAAATCTTTTAGGGGCTGTTTGATTCAAGGTATATCTTATTACCGGAGAAATGGAATCCTCATTCACCGTTTGGTTAGCCAACATTTCAGCTCTCGATAATCTTTTATTACCAGCAGTGAATTTTTTGGGGTATATTAACGGGAATGTTATTACCCATTCCCTTAAGTATTGTTAGATTACTGGCATTTTGGACTAAAATGTCCTTAATTTTTTTATTTCAAAAATATCATTCTTCTGTCGTTGAATAATAAAAAATCTATAAATGTTAAATTATAAATTTATCCTTAAATTATTTTAGATTTACAAAAAAAGTCTATAATTAAAATTTTATATGAAATTTAGAGGTTAAAATAAAATTTTATCCTTTCATTAAACTATTTATCTTTTTAATTTTGTAAAAAATATATATATATATATAAATTTTATGAATTTAAATTTTTTAAAGAAATTATATAAATTAATTATAGTAGAATTCAACTTATTAAAAAAATAAATATATAATAAGGACAATTTAATAAAATATACATTCTAATAATCTTTTATTCTTTTAATCAAACACTATAATCTTACATTCATGTTAAATCAACTAAACACAAAATACAACATTTACAGTAATTTTATTTTCCGATAATCTTTTATTCTCCTTATAATCTAACCTTCTGTAAATCAAACGTCCTTTTACGTTTAAAAAAAAAAACCCTAATCCCCAAAATTGGGTTCATCTATCTCTCTATCTTTAACGACAAGAAAACGAAAAGAAAATTCCAAGTTTTTACCCCCACCTTCAGTTTTCCTGGAAACGAAAAACAAGGATTCTTGAGGAATTTGCAATCCAGTTAAATGCAAACGTCGTGTCGTTTCATTTCTCGCTTCCTTCGCTCCTCCAAGCATATTTCTTCCTCCATCATTGTCAACTCATCGTTCAACAGTCTCTCCCATCTCGATTTAGTAAATCCCCGAAATCAGGGTTTTTCTCAGTTTAGTCCCTATACGACAAATTCTGGGCAATTCAGAGGTTCGAAACATTGCATTTTGCTGGGTTTTGTACTGCCCGCTGATGATCCCACCGGTTATCAGCATCATCCACATTTTTACTCTTCCTATCGGAGTTGATAGTACCATCTCTTGTGTAAAGAAAATGCTTTTTTTTTATTTATTTGGAAATTGTTTACAAATGAATATCGATATGTATATGCAGGCTTTTTTACGAGGGCGAAACCAATAAAGAAGATTGAAATCACTGATCAGCACAGGTACTTTCATTTTGCTTTTACTTTTCTACTTGACCCTTTCGAAAATGGGCGTTGAAAATTCACGTAATTTATCCTTCAAAAGAACCGCATTTTCCCCCCCCAAAATTTTGTTTTGCGTTCAAATTCACTTTTTAAATGCTGGCTAATAAAAACAAAGAACTAAATGAGGAGGCTAAACGAGAATTTCCGTAGTGCAAGGCAGAATCGTTTTTCTCAAACAAAAAAAGAAAGTTGTAAGGGTCCTAAGGGATTCATCTTTTGCAATAACTAGTAACTGCTATAAAGTCAAATTACTTAGTGTATTTTCATTTTCTTGGATACTTTAGGTTGCCATTTGATTGAATCCTGGTGATTAAAACTAAGAGTGTGGTGGCTGCTTATTATATTTCATTATAAGTGACTTGAGCTCTTTTTGTTTTCGTCTGTTTGTTTGGTGAATGCTTAGACTATATGTCAGCTTGTTCATATCCTTTTGCCTTGACGTTTTGTTGTTTGCCTTAAATATTTGACACTCTAGTCAACGAGCTGTTACAACTGCATTATGGTGCAACTTCCTTGTCTTTTCTCTCAAGTTTGGGGTCTGGTTAGCAACCTCTAGCCATGTTATGTTAGCTGAAACGGTTCATTCCCTTGCAGATTTTGCTAATCAGGTAGTTAAATCTCTCTTTTTTGTTTCCCCCCATTAGTCTCTCACTCCCTTGATACTAGCTTGTTGCCTTGTAACTAAATTGATTGATTATGAAATGCACATAATCTAATACATATTGCATTGTAGGCGCTTCTTGCTTATGGTTTGAGTAGTTCAAGACGTGTCCCAGATGCATTGCATCCGTAAGTCTCTTTTCCATGGTGCAAACAACCTTTACTAAGCATAGTAACCATGTACCAATTATGATTTTCCTGTATCATATTATGCATCTTAGTGTTCATGGATACTTGATGTGCTATTGCATAGTTTATTCGTTCCATTCATTAACATGTCCACTAAATAAACAAATTTATCTATTAATTTATTTGCCACCTTACTCCTTGACATTATTCTCGTCTGTTTTCCAAGAATTCAAGTAATTAAAGTTAACAGGTTGCTGTTCTGAGCAAGAGTAGAAAGTTGAGAAATTTGTATTTTTTTAATATCACATTTTTTCTTTCTACTAAGATAGGTGACTTCTTTTGAAGCTAGTTCCTATGTTTTAATTTGATGCATGCATGCTAAACAGGGATTTATTTGTAAACACAAGATGCAAGTTCAGATTTTAAAGGATAGGCTGAAACCTCTGTTTTTTTTCCTCAGATATGGCTATTCCAAGGAAAGATTTGTCTGGTCCTTGATATCCGCTGTTGGCATATTCTGTCTTGGTTCCGGTGCTACAATTATTCATGGAGTTCAAAACCTATGGATAGCACATGTACTTGACTATTTTCCCCATATATTTATATATATTATATATTTTTTAAGCTCTCAATAAATTACATTTTATTTCACTTTCTGTTTTCTTCAGCCCCCAGATAATATCGAGTATGCAGCTTTGGTGATAGGTGGTTCATTTATAATTGAAGGTATAATTGGAGCATTATGATTGTATCTTTTGGCCACAAAAGTGCATTTGCTTAATCCATTTCTCTTCAGATTTCCCTCTTTAAACTATAACATCATCTCTTCAGGCGCTTCTCTTGTTGTTGCCATACAAGCCGTCAAGAAAGGTGCAGTAGCAGAGGGAATGAAAGTGAAGGACTATGTCTGGCGTGGTCATGATCCTACGTCTGTTGCAGTCATGACAGAGGTAATTCACTATGCGTTTTTGCGCTTTTGGTTGATAAAGAATTGAACTTGTTAAATGCAAAGTTGGGATTTGGGAAATTTAGAATAGCATTAAAGAGTTTGGATGAATTCAAAATATTTGGTTGCTATAGTAGTAAGATTGTAGATGATATGATTTCTTGACATGATATTTTAATTTATCTTATTTGCCTTGTAGAGTACTTGAAATTGAAACTGTTAAAGTTATGGATAGATCTATCAATTTAGTGAAGAGAAGAGCCTAATTTTGATCAATATACCATTAGCTAATTTTTTTTTTTTGATAGGAATTGCAGGCCTCGTTAAAATCCTCCTTCTTGATTAAAGGATCTTGTAAAAAGCTCCTTAATTAGTGGAAGGAGGAAAAGAGTGCCTTACGATTTCATTAACCAGAAAAAAACATAAGAATACAACCAGGTCGCCACCCCCAACATAAGCAAACAACCAAAAACAACCGAGAAAACCCTACACGACAACACTAACACAGCTAAAACCTTATAAGCTACAACAACAGTCACAAAAATGACTGACCAGCCTTAACACCTTAACACCTGAACAAAACAAACCAGAAGCCGAACATCACAGCTAACTCAATCCATAACAGACAAAATCAAAAACAAAATCCCGAACTTCCGCACGAACAGATAACCAGAAAAAACATCCACCTAAAAGACAAAATCCTGAACTTCCACACGAACAGAGTACAAGAATCATCTTCCACCTTAACGCCTCTTCTTGCTCGACTTGAAAGTTCCAAAACACCCACTGCCTTAACCTTCCTCTGAGGATTCATACTACGACTTTAACGAGGCTTCCTAGTTTGAGCCGCAAATTTGACTTGAAAATTTCTGAGAGAAAAATTACCTTCCTCTCCTCCACAGCTTTTTGTTTCTGACGCCCATCCAACATGGGGGAATGAAAAGAATATTCCTCAGAAGCACGTGCAGGTTCACACCTTTTCCTGCTATCTTCTTCTGCTCCTCTCTTATTTTGAATCAGCACTTCCTCGTGTACCCCACTAACACTCTCCAAAGCCTGAAAAATACCACCACTTTGATAGACATGCTCCTGCACAGCTGCCCCACTAACCAAATCCACATTCTTGATCTCCGAGAACCTTTTAGAATTGATATCAGTCCCATGCGCAACTACCCCATTACTGACTGTCGGGGACACAGCTTTAACAGCCCATACCTCACCTGAACCACACATACCGCCCCAATATGCGTGCCATCAATAGACGCTCGATTTTCTAGTTGAACTTCCTTAATATTAGTGGAATCATAATTAACTCGTGAAAACGTTCCAGTACATACCGCCAACTCGAAAGACTTTACTGGCAAGACACCATCAAGGTCCCCCTCCGTGGGTAACGGTGAAGCAACTGCCGTTTCCGATACAGCCGAATCCTCCCAGACGGAATCAGGGCTAAAGCAAGGTTCGATCTCGGAAACAAATACTGTAAAAGATTGATCCCCGACTTTCAAAACACAGGATTCTTCCACTCGAACTTTACAGTTCGTAATGATCTGAAACAAGGCCCTATCAAACGAGCCAGGATATAAGGTCCCTGCGTCAATTGAGATAAGAGTTCCCCATTTTCCTGCAATGTTTCTGAAAGTAGAATGGCTCCACACAAAAGGTGGAATCCCTCTGCACGATAACCATGCCCGTCGGCTGCTACACTTAAAGTTTTCCGACCACAATTCCACCTTGTCAAAGCATTTATTCAACGCTCCAATCTGATTTTTTAGAGCAAAGTCTCTACTCTCTTCATCTTCAAAAATGATCAGAATTGCTAAACCACTTAACCTCATAATTTTCGGGCCTAAAATGCCTACCTTATGCATAACAGCAGCTAACTCTTTCATTTTTATAAATTTTCTGCACCAACCAACCAAACTATCTCTAAGAGTAATTAGTTTATCCTCGTCAACTACACCGATAATGGGAGATTCTCTGACATCCTCCTCTCTACTCTTGACCATAGTTGAATTTGAACCAGTAACCTTTCTCTTCCAGAAAACATCACGAGGTTGAAATCTCGCCATGAAAACTCTAACCTTATTACCTTGAATCCAAGATCTATCAGCACAGAAGATAGCCCTCCTCGCGTCCTCCAATCTAGAGAAGCGGACAAAACCGAACCTGCTTCCTCCCTTGCTTCTTTTGATGGGAATGAAAGAGTCGACCACCTCGCCATATTTATCAAACAATAACCAAAGGCCTTGATGATGAAGACACTCTGGAATATTGAAAATAATCACTGTAACGCAACTTTTCCCAACAGATCTTCTCACCTGACTTGCCATCTAAAGGAAATAAAAGGGAAGGAGAACGAAATTTTTGAAAAACGCCTAAATTTTTAGAGAGAAGGGGGAGCTTCTCTCACTTGGATTTAAGCATTCAATTTCACATGTTGTCCCTTAAACCTTGCAAAGGTAAAAATAAAATTGAAACGAAAGGAAGCACTAATCTTCAGTTACATTGCACATCTGCTGCCCAGGGGTAAGCATTCCCTAGTGCAGCCATATTTTGCACTATTGAGACATACTGCAGTATATGTGGGATTTATGGAGCATTTTGATATTTTACATGCAGGTGATCTGGTTGAATAATTTTTTTTGAGTTTTGGCTGTTATTATTGTGGTTTCACCGTATGCATTTCCCCTCTAGAAGATGAAATACTTTACCAGTCATCTGATAGAATCTGGAGAAAGTTTATTGTTAAACTGATGGGTCTGAGCTTAGGTTCATGACATAGTTAATTTAACAAGCTGCCATAAATGAGAAGAACTACCTGTAATTTCCTTTTCCTCTTGGTCCATATTCTGTAACAGACTGCTAAACTAGTGAACTGTAGAAGCACGGATGTAAAAGACTAATTAAAATTGCATCTTCATAACAAGAACTTCATAGTTGCAGTTATCTTTATCTATATCAGTATATCTATCACTCCATTGATCTTCATTATTGCCCTCATTTGGTATAATTTCTCATGCATTAAGCAGGTGTAAGGGTTTCTTAGCTTAATTGATCAGATCCTGGTGTAGTGATCGAGGAATTGTTTTCTCTTTAAAATATTTAATAGGGTTGATTTGATTGCTGTTTTGAAATATCTAAAACTTTCAACTGGATGTCTAAATTGGAAATCTGTTTCTTAATTTGTTCTTATGTTTTACTTCTGCCTCCTGCCATCTTCTTCTCCATTCTCTTTCTTCTGCACACATTAAGGATGATGTTGAGTGTTGACTGAATTATCTCTATGTTTTATCTTTCCCTAATTTCCTTTTTCTGAGTACTGCACCTATCTAATCCGTTAGTGTACCTTAATGCACAGTTTTTTTACTTCAATTTTTTCCTTCAAAAAGTTATACGAATCATGATGATAGCTGTGGTTTTTCTTATCTACTGCAGTTTGTTTCTCCAGTTTCTTCATAGTAGATTATGTCAACTTTTTCAGGATGGTGCTGCCGTAACTGGTCTTGTTATAGCCGCAGCATCACTGGTTGCAGTGAAGACAACTGGGAATGCCATATATGATCCCGTAGGCTCCATTATAGTTGGCAACCTTCTTGGAATGGTCTGTTATACTTCTTACACTTGAAATTTTTACATCTTTAACTGAATATCTGTAAATACTGCCTGATATAATGCAACCAAACTCTTTGAACATTCAGGATGGTATTTATTGGTTTCTCGTAGTCAATAAGTAGTGTTTGTCTTAACTAGAAGCTTGGTGTTTCTTGAATTAAGGGCATAGTCATAGTTTCATTTACCATTTTCTCATCTTTTTTAGGTGATATGTTTCCAATTAGACTTTAGGCATTTGTGTGCTTTTATGGGTTACTGAGAAAACATACCATGTTGGCTTTAGGAATTGATTGGTGAAGAACTAGGGTGCGCTTGAGCTTTTTGCTATGACGTGTGAAAAAGACCAAGAACTTAGGCAAGTCACTAAATCTTCTGGCGAGGTGATATGCAGGATCTGATTTATGATTTTTGTCATATTTAGTACTATGAAAAAAATGCATGGCCATATAGCAGTGTTAATTTTGGCTGGAATGTCCTTTATGAGATGGATGATTGGATACTGTTTCTATACTTGATGGCTTTGGCATCTTTGATGATTTTTTTTTTTTTGATAGAAGTTGGAGGTCTCATTAAAAACTCCCTTTGTATTCTTCCACATACTTAGAAGTATGTTGAAGAACATTGGAAGGAAGAAAAGAGTGCCTCATATTTTATTAAATAGAATACCAATTACATGTGGTAGCATCGAACCCTCATAGGGGAATATACAGCATTACAAAAACCATATCACCTAATAATCTTCCATCTTTAAACAAAAAGCCCCTAAGAAAATAACCATATTTCTAAGATAAACCTCAAGATGAAAGATAACATAGCAAATAAAAACCAACAATTACAACCACAAACTAAAAAACGCCTCTGAAAACATCTGTCGGACAATCACGACCCAACTGGAGGAACAAGTTCTAAAGAAATATCGCAATCTTCAGGGACCCAAGAGTCAGGTTTGAAGGAAGGATTAACTTCATGCACCAAAATATTGAATAAATTAGCACCGACCTTCAACTCCAACAACTCATCAATTCTCCCTTGAGCCTTAGTGAGTATTTGGATTTTTAGCTCTATCAAAAGACGTAGGAAACTCACAACTGCGATAGATTGCAATTAACTTGCCCCACTTAGTTGCAATGTTTTTGAAGGTATCTCAATTCCAAGCGTGAAAAGGAATACCTTCGCAAACTACCCACACACGACACTCCACCACTAGGCTCTCCGACCAAGTTTCCACTTTGGAAAACCACTCTGCTAGAGTCTCTAACTTATCATCTTTCATGCTTCTCAATGAATCATAGTCTTCAAAAACCATAAGAACTACATTTCTAGCGGTTCTCATTAGCGTGAAACCAGCTAATCCTTTGGCTTGTATCTGGTTAGCAAGATTACCAATTTTGATAAAGTTCTTGCACCACCCCACAAGACAGTTACTCAACACTTGAAGTTTATCTTCGTCCACAACACCCTCAACTTCACAGTGTTTATTCCTTGAAATATCTTCCAACCCAGACTTACTTTGAACAATTGTCGAGGACTTTCGCCAGTAAGACTGTCGGGGTTTATATTTAGCCAAAGAGACTCTAATTTTGCTGCCATAAATAAGTTTACCATTCATCAAAGAAATCGCTTTCCTTGCTTCTTCATTTGAAGCATAGCGAATAAACCCAAAGCTAACCCCATATGCGTTTCTTTTATTGGGAATGAATGCATCAATAACTTGTCCGTGTGTGCCAAAAATATATCCAAGTCTCTTCCAATGGATCTTCTCCGGTAGGTTCTCAATGAATAACGTGACGCATCCACTTCTATACCCATTAGTACCATTTGTATGAACTTCCTTCCACCGGTTTTGAAAACCTTTGCTTCTCCTTCTCACTACTTCAGAAGATTTTTCATTGGCAAACTCCTTCTTTGTTAACTCCCTGGTTCCATGGTGAACTACATCAACAGCCGAAAAAACGGGAATTGCCTCCACTGACGAAATCCTCTCAATCCTATAATTCCCACCTTGCGAAGGAGACGTACCACTGTCATCAATCCTAATAGCAGGTGGTTGATAGTCTAATGTTCCTTTAACAGAACATTTTTTCAGAGATTTGGTTGGGAGAGGACGATCACCCGACCTCGCTGAAACTGCTCTTAAACTTTGCTGATTTTGGCGTAGAAGAGTGCCTGTAGGGAGTACCGTCGGCCTCAACTGTCCAACCTGCCTCACGGGCCAAGGCGACCAGTACATCGTTTATATTACAACGCTCTGAAAGATGGAAATTACCCTCAAACCGGCCAGCAAACGTCTGGTGAAGGCTCGCCTGTTCCATTTCCGCAGCTTAGTCCTCTCCTTTTCATTCTCCCTCTCACGTTTTTCCTTGCCGGAGTAAGAAGAAGTTGTTGCTTCATCGGGTCCAGAGGGAGTACGAGTGTGGTTAACAGCGACTGCAGCAGACCTTGAAGGAGGAACAGAACGGTGACCCGCAGAGGATGCATCCACACTGTCTGTTGCAGCAGACCTTCGAGCATCCACCGCGTCTATTGCAGCAGACCTTCGAGGTCGCCTGGGCTGAGACGGGAGTTGGGGTTCCATGGAGTGGTCTGGAAATAAACAGAAAGGAGGAAATGGAATATATTTTCTGCCGAACCCGTTCACTGGAAATAAATGGAGAATAGAAGCGATTCTCGACCCTTGGAAGGTGGTTCTGGTCGCGTTAAGACGCTGAGACCGGAGGTGCAGCGATGTTGAGCACGGATGGCGGGAAGCGGCTAAAATCGGCAGAGGGCTTCGTCAAGATCTGCGACAATAAAATGATTCTATCACGAAACTAAAGCCAGATTTGAAATCACCGTGGGCCGGCGATCCTCCCAGTAAGAAACGGCGTCAAAAAGGTGGTCGGAGTGTGGCGGCGAACGGCTGACGGCGGCGGCGTGTGGCGGACGACGGCGGCAGACAACGGGTGAATGTCGGAGGAGAGAATAGTTTTCAACCACGCCTGGGCTCGTGGAAATTCAAAATTTGAATTTCCTTAAACGGCGCTCCATCTTTGATGATAAACCTGGATTTCTAGACATTGCCTTTGTGAATTCTTACATAGCCAAATGTTGCTAAAATATTACTTATTTGTAGTAACCTGGTTACGATTTAGGTTGCTGAACAAGATTCATGGGAGATTAAAACATGAGGAATTCTTCATGTTTTGCCTTTCATTGGCTCATAGGTTCTCAACTTTGTTTCACATGTAGTTTTGTCATACCATGCACTGCTATAGCATGGTAAATTTGGAAACTAAATCCTTACGGTTTAGTTTCATAATTCGAGTGGGTTCTTTTGGATGAAATGTAATATATAATGTCTGTTTGCTGAAGGACCATCTTTCTGCCTTGTTTCCTCTTTCTTTCTTTCTTTTTCTTTTTGAAGATGCCTTTTTTTCCCGTCAGAATTAATTGATAGCATATAATATTTGTGGGGGATGCATGTAATTTGACATTATGATAGTGGAAAAAACTGAGTTGGTCTTTGTTGCTATGACTACTATGCTAAGACATTGTACGTGTGCTCATGTGAGCGCGAGATAAAGAGTGGGAGAAAGATGGAGGGAAGGGGAATTATGTAGTTAGAACGAGTCAAAAGTCTCAAGGCTGTGTTACTATAGTTTATAATTTCAAGCATCTTTGGGTTTGTGGTATATCTTATTGGAGCATATCAATTTTGTAGGTCGCAATATTTCTCATCCAGCGCAACCGGCATGCCTTGATAGGGAGAGCAATAGACGACAATGATATGCAGAAGGTTCTCCATTTCTTGAAGAATGATCCGGTATATCTCTACTGGAATTGTTTGACTTAAAATCCTCTTCATTTATAATCATTCTTGAAAAATTTTAGGGGTATGACATTTCTGCAGGTTGTTGATGCTTTATATGATTGCAAGAGTGAGGTGATTGGCCCTGGGTTCTTCAGATTCAAGGCAGAGATTGGTGATTTTCTCACATTGACTTTTACTTTCGGCATCATTTTGCAAATTTTCTTCATCTCATCCAATACAAATATTTTGATTGGAAAGCAAGGGATACATTTTACTAGCTCTGGCCTGCTAAAGTAAATAATTAATATTTCTCTAGTTTAAACCTTTTGACATTTATTGTTATTGCTGTGACAATGTGCTACAGATTTCAATGGAGAGGTGGTTGTGCAAAACTATCTTGAAAGAACAGGACGGGAAGAGTGGGCGAGACAGGTTAATATTTCAGTCTTCGATTTCCTTTTCGTCTTCAAAACATTTGCATGTTCAATATATTTTGCTGCTATCTGTCTAACTTATAATAGCCCATGATTTGGCCTTTTTTTTCCTGTGTGCATTAACATTTTCCTTGATACAAACAGTTTTATATGATATTCTCTAATAATCAAGCATTCCTTGCGATACCGGACTTAATAACATATTTTCACAATTATCTTTTATTTCAATATGCTGATAACTATTCTGTTCTATGGTTTGAAGTTTTAATATCTTATCAACATCAAACCACTTTTTGCGTGTGCTTGCATTGTTTGTTGTCAAGAATTGGCATTTTCGTCTATGTATATATCTTGAGAACCAGTGTCCAGCTGGTTTGATATTTAGTTTAGTTTTAAAAGCAAATGTCAGGGAAGAGCACTAATCTAGGAAGCCTGAAGCTTTTAATTTTGGTATTTTATTATGCTAAATGTCCGTGTAGACTAACCAGAATTCGGTCAAACACAGTTCCGAGAATCTGCAAAGGAGAAAGATGATTCTGCATTGCTAAAGATCATGTCAAGTTACGGTATGCAAGTAGATGAATTAGTGATTATAATAAATATAGTTGTAATGTGTATAACTAAAGAGTTCCTTTTGCAGGTGAGGAAGTAGTCACAGCATTAGGAAGTGAAGTGGATCGACTCGAAAAGGAGATCCAAGAACTTGTTCCCGGCATTCGGCACGTTGATATTGAAGCTCACAACCCCATTGACCTATCATCTTCATGATCCCAGATTTTCTTTCGGGCATTATTTCTTCCGTATTTTTTTTCTTGTTCTACTTGTCTAATGGACAAGAACAAGAAAAAAATGCAATTAATTAAAATGTCTGCGTTTTCAATCGAACTCTATCGATAATGCCGGATTATTATATATTAGTGGTGATAAATTGTATAACCTGTGAATAGGGGATATTTGAGTTTGAAAAGGAATGCAATTCTTAGAAAGCTGAATTTATCACAGGATCATGGCCTGCTATGAGATAATAAGCATGTAGTTTGCCGAGCAAAGTGAGTAGGAATTGGTGTCCTCTAAAGAAAGAGGGTAAATTACAAGTTTAGTATCTCAACTATTATTTTTTATTCTGTTTTAGTTATTCAATTATTTTTCTGTTTCAAAATTATGCCCAACATTAAGTTCTGATTTCATTTTAATTGTCTATGGTTAAAAAATTAACAATGATGTTGATGTGTCATTATAAGATAAATTTATTGAATATTTAAAAAAATGTTAGAGAATAGTTTTGTTAATTATTTAATGATTTGTGATTAAAATGAAATCAAAATATAATATTAATTATATGATTGTTTTAAAAAAATAATGGTTGAGTGTTCAAAATATAAGAGTGAGAGTCCACGAGGTAGTGTGAGCTAGAAGTCGAAGTTATCTTTTTTAGTTAATTGTAGAGTTTGATAGAGCTCTTTTAGAACATTTTCAAGGTTGTTAAATCATCGATTGAGACCCGTTCTGATACCAATTATTATCTTTATCGATTAAATGGAAATCGCCAAGACATTTAAAAAATTTGTGTGGAAGTAACTGAAAAATAGAAAAAAAATCCACAACGATTTATAGTGGTTCGATTTTTTAAACAAAATTCTACATCCACTACCTTAGCATCCACACTAAAGATTTCTCAAATCTACTAGATTTGCTAACATTTGAGGACAATGTGTAACCTTACAAAGACACACAAGGTTTATACCTTAAAACCTTACTTATACGCTCTCCGCAAGAGGGATTACAAATTTAGCAAACAAAAGAAAATCTCACAAAGACAAATGTGTTTGAAACTAATTAAGCACACACCCAAATTACACTTAAGCAAGAATAAGCAAGAAGCTCACAAGTGTATTACCAAGAGATTTGACAATTTTAGCTCTAAAACTCTTTTGATGTTGGATTGGTCTTACAATTTTCTTTCTTGTTGTTCTTCATTTAAATCTTGGTCCCTTTTATGCCTTTTAACATCAATCTAATCGTATGGAGTTGTTGGGGATTGATTAGAGCTGTTGGATTTATTAATTTTAAGCATTTAAAGATCACTTGCACATTTGGTATCAATACCAAGTAATGTGAATCGAAACCGGCCATCCTAAAGGTAAAAGTATAGCCGTTGAACCCTTGAAATCGATACTGTTTAAATGAGTATCGATACTCACCTATCACTATCAATACCAACACCATGGTATTAATACCAAATTGCTCACTAGAATATCAATATTGAGACTAACATGTTAGTCTCGAGATTGACAATGATTTTTAGCTAATTTTAAGTGTTTTGAGTTTTAAAACAATATTTGTAAAATATGAAATCACAAAATAACACTTGTGATCATTTTTTCACACTTTAAAATAGTTTATGACAAATTATTTATAGAATCCCAAAATACAAATTTTAACAACTTAAAACATTAAAAAATCATGTTATATCAAAATCAAAAGTTGATTCAACAAAAAATGTCAATCTATCTCGATATGTTTAATTCTTTAAGGAAAACTGGATTTGCAACAATCTGAAGAGCTGCCCGGTTGTCACAGTAAAGTTTAACCGATTGCTTTTCACTTACTCCTAACTCCATCAACAACCCTTTTAACCATGTTATCTCTGTTGTGGTAATCGCCATACTTCTATACTCCGCTTCAGTAGACGATCGAACTACAGTGGGTTGTTTCTTCATCTTCCAAGGGATCAACGAGTCACCCAATTCAACGCAAAAACCAGTCACTGACCTTCTGTTCATTAGGCAAGCAGCCCAATCCGAATCACAATGGGAATGACAGTCATTTTTTCACTTAATAGAATTCCTTGCCCTGGATGCTCTTTCTTAAGTTAATGCATAAATTGACAAAGATGTTGCACAACGAAACTGATATCCAATCTTGTATGCATTAGATAAAAAAGTCTTCCAATTAATCTCTGATACGTAGCTTTATCAATCAACTCTTCTTCACTGTTATTTTGCAGCACAGTTTCATCCTACTGTACAGAGGTAAGCTTTATATTTTATTCCAAGGGAGTTGACGATGGTCTTACTCCTCATAAACCAGTGCTTTCTATCAGCTCTAATGCATATTTTCGATGGTTTAAAAAATACCCTTAGCAGACCTTAAAATCTCGAGGCCAAGGATGAACTTTAACTCTTATAGATCCTTCATTTTAAAGTTCTTATGAAGAATGCTTTTAAGATCTTCTATCATTTCTTCATCACTTTCCGTGATCAAAAGATCATCAACATACACAAGTAAAACAACAATCTTGGCACCTTGTTTTATTGTGAAGAGTGAATAATCATATCGACTCTGTTGAAAACCAACAGCTAATAACATAACTGTTAGCTTAGCATTCCACTGTCTTGAGGCATGCTTCAACTCATTTAGTGATTTTTGCAGATGATAAACACGAGTCTCCCCCAAGCTGCAAAAGCCTTGGGGTAACTCCATGTAAACCATCTAAAAAAGATCCCCTTGTAAGAACGCGTTGTAAACTTCCATTTGGCATAAATACCACCCAAAATTTGATGCCAAAGCAAGGACAAAACAGACAATGGTCATCTTAGCAACATGTGAGAATGTCTCAACATAATCTACATCTTCTCGTTGGTTGTCGCATTGGCAACAAGACGGGCTTTGAACCTTTCCACCTCCTAGAGGCCTTATATTTGATTTGAAATACCCGCTTACAGTCCATAGGAACGTTCCCTGGAGTTAAAGATACAATAGACCAAGTTTTGTTTAATTCAAGAGCTTTAATTTCCTCATTCATGGCCTGCACCCAAGATGGGTGTTTGATGGCTTCTTGATAAGTACATGGTTCAATATGAATAGAATTAGATGCAAGAAAAGTTTGAGTATGTTTAGGTAAATATGAATATGTAATATGATTTGAAATGGAATACTGACCATGTGACGAAGTCGAGACTGAAAGGGAAGCAGATTGGAAGAAGTAAACGAAATTTTTCAACCAGTTGGGTGGTTTAGTCACACGGGTAGAACTTCTAGAATGTTGCACATGAATGACACTAGTACCAGAGCACATAGCCAAATCATTTGACAAAGGTGAACCATTTAAAGGACTGGATAAAGAAGGCAAAGAACAAACTAAATGACTAGAAGCAGATGATTGTGAAATAGACAAACCTGGTTGTGATGATCCAGAAGATTCAAAAGGAATTTGAAGGTTAGGAATAGTGGGCAGAGTGTTAAGAACCAAACAATCTGAATCAACTACACAAGGATTCGAAGGGAAAAAACAGAAGACTCTTATTGAGGGAAAGAAAATAGAAAAACATACTCAAAAAATATCCATGCTAACAAAAAAAAATATTTTCAAGATTAAACAAGATATACCCCTTTTATGTATTCGAATATAAAAAAAATGGAGGTAATGGCTCGAACAGAAAACTTGTCATGTTGGTTTATATTTGTGGCATAGGCTAAACATTAAAACACATTCATATGAGAAAAATCAAGAATTTTGTTGTAAAGGACTTCAAATGGGGATTTCCAATACAAAACTAAAGTAGGTAACCGATTAATAATGTAACCGGCAGTAGTGACACATTCTTTCCAAAATTTCGAAGGTACATTTGACTGAAACCTAAGTTCTCTAGCTATTTGTAGGATGTGTCTATGCTTTTGTTCTGCAACTCTATTTTGTTGAGGAGTGTGAAGATACGAACTCTGGTGTATGACCCCTAAAGATGAGAAAAAATCAGAACACTCGTTAAAAAATCTCGTACCATTGTCACTTTTTACAACCTTAATTTTAGCCAAGAACTGGGTTTTGACAAGCAAGAAGAAACGTTTAAGGCACAAAACAATATCGCTTTTAAGTTTTAGCAAAAAAACCCTACTCATCCGATTGTGATCATCCACAACAGTAAAAAAGAATCTCTCCCCACTATGTGTAGAAGACCTATAGGGTCCTCACAGATCAATGTGAATCATGTCAAAAGGTATAGGTGACCTAGAAGTGCTAATAGGAAAATGAAGCCTTGTTTGTTTAGCTAAGGGACTAACATGACATTCATTAGTATGTTGCTTATCAGCAGACACAATAGAAGTTAAAGAAGAAATTTTATTCATGGTAGAAATAGAAGCACGCCTCAAACGGGCATGCCAAATATGTAAGTTTTTATTCGCAAAAGATGTCATACAAACAGATGAACCATACCATCACTACGTGACACAACATTGGGCAAAGAAGAAAAACAAGGTGATGCAGAATGTAAACCAGTAGGCAAAGCTGAGGACAAAAAGTGATACAACCTTTTAGACTCCTTACCAGTTCCCTTCTTCGGTTGTAAGATCCTGAAAAATACAAAAATTAGGATAAACTAAAATAGAGCAATTTAGATCTCGAATGAGCTTTGAAACTGACAAAATTATGAAACATAAAGGACATAGTGTAAAGTTTGACTAGGTTTCAAGAAGCAAGATCATGTATGGGTGATGGGTGTTGTTTGAGCATTTGGTAAGTGGAAAATACGTTAGGGACATGGATTTGGAGATTGTAAGCTCTTGAAATCAGACACAATATGGTCTGTTGCACCTGTATCAACAATCCAAGAAACAGAATCATTAGATTCAAAAACAAATATTGATTCAAAATTCAATACCTGTAAAATTCACCGATGTATCTGTTGCAAGATTCTGATGTAGCAAACTCAAGATCTGATTGTATTGTTCGTGAGTGAAGACTGTAGCATTTGTAGAAGGCAGAGTACTTGCAGAAATCAAATGCTCATTAGTCATTACCACTCTCAGCATCTTGTTCCAAATCAACAGAAACCATAGTTGGATGGAAATCCAATCAAACGATAACATGTCTCTCCTTTGTGTCCCTTATACTTGTAATAATCACAAATACCTTGAAAACAACAGCGATCTGAAGCTCCTGTTGCCTAGGAATATAGTGCAGTTGATTCCTAGTACGGGGAATAACCAGAAAGATGAATTCGTTGTACCTACTCTAGTGTAATCA